CCCGATATTTTACTATACGCTGATGATAAAATCACAGCTGTGAGCAATCTTAGGGGCCATCTAATGGAAAGGTTTCATTTTCTAGATAAAGGATCTGAAGTCTGGCGGTAGAAGAAATGGGCCCAAGAACTCCCAGCTCTCAGTAAAATTTTTTAAACTCACACTTGTTTCTTCCCCAACAGCAACTTGGGAAGCATATCCAGGGAACTAAAGCTACAGTTACATCAGTTCCACTCCCCAGGCCATAGTAGCTTTACCTACAGACCTATGTTCTTTGGCGCCAATATCAAATAAATGAGCCATCAGGATGTCCTAGAAAAGTAGTTAAGGAAGTAGAACCAAGGGCCAAGGCTACACAATCAGGGATTAGTAAGCAAATGGAGAAAGTTATTTTAGAATATCTGATTTTAAGGTGAGTTTTTTAAAGCTCCTGGTTCAGAACTTTGGAACTAGAAGGTACTATAATATTATTTCATTCAACTCATCCCTTTTACATATGATTAAACCTTTAATAATAAGTACAGAATTAGAACAATTTGGTAAACAAAACAAATACCGAAGTATTGCATTATAACTCAAAGTATAAAATATACATGACTCCATAGTTATATAAATAAATGACTAATAGGGCAGAAGAGAAACACTTCCTTACAGAAGAATTACAAATATTATATACAGATGCTCCCCCTTCCAAAAGGTGGGACTTAATTCTATATATCCCCCAGCGAGCTAAACTTAGTGATTCATTTCTAAACAATAGAGTAGGAAGCACAGTAACTTTATGGTGGAGAACTAACTACTTGGTGACAAACTACTTGACCAAGTGATCATGGTTAACATCTCCAATGAAGTTATACAAACTTCAAGTACTCCACAGGACATTTATTTCCCCACTGTGGATTCTTCCCCAAACCCATAACATCAGTCTAATCATGAAGAAAATATCAGACAAACTCAGATTGAAATTATTATAAAGGACGCTAGATGGTATTCCTCAAAACGATCAGAGGTTATGAAAAACATGGAAAGACTGAGAAACTGTCACAGACCAGAGGAAATGGGGAGACATGACAACTAAATATAATGTGGCACCTAGACTGTATTCTTGAACAGAAAGAGGTACTGAGAGGAAAACTGATAAAATCTAAATAAACAATAATGTTCCAAAGTTGATGTCTTCACTCTAACAAGTGTGTGGTGGTTATGTAAGATGCTGACAATGGGGAAAACTGGGTATATGGGAGCTATCATCTCTGAAACTTTCCTGTAAGTCTAAAATCAGTTCAGAGTAAAATTTACTAAAGAAATTAATGTAATGTAGCATTAAAAATTGTATTTCCAGGCATTAAGAGGGAAAGTTGCAACACAGCCAACACAAACCATTCTCTCTGTAGGGAATTGACTACAAAGGGGAGGGCTTTCATCCAGTAGTGGGCAAAACAGGTTGTAGGAAGGCAGGGAGGCAGGGCCAAGTTCTTCAGAGGCCTCAAAAGCCCACCTTATCAACCCTCCAAGAGTCACTCCTATCTACAGGGAGATGGCTCCTTTCCAGTGCAACTCCTCAGTAGAGCTTAAGGAAAGGGCCAGTTAACAGTCTTCAAACAGGGGCAACAGTACGAATGAACCACATGTTGGGCTGAGGCTGCCTAATTCTAGAGTCTACCTCTGCCTGCGCAGAGGCCATCAGAAGCCACAGGTAAGCAAACAATACTGTGGCATCAATAGGTTTCACTTGGTCTGGGCTCCCAAAGGGGAAAGGCCAGGGGACTTGGGAAAGTACCACTTTCAAAAGTCCAGTTTACAGGAAGCTTCAAAGTAGTTCAAACTATGGCTAGGACTAAAATGTTGCAGGCTTCTGATGTCTAGAACAACAGCCCTGGACCCAGGAGCTGTGAGTCAAGATTGCCACAGCACCAGTAAGCATAACCTGGCTCAGGTGGCATACACATGGAAGATTACCATGGAAGTCACTTGTAGATTTGGAGGTTGGGGATTCAAATCCTTCCTAAAACTCAACTCATCTTCAAAGCACAACAGGAACCTCACATTTCCCCAGGATTAAGAAACAACCGGTGTGGCTCAGTGGTTGAGTGTCGACATATGAACGGGGGTGGGGGGGGGTGGGGGGGGGGGTGTCACAGTTTGATTCCCAGTCAAGGAATTAGCACAGGTTGAGGGCTCGATCCCCAGTGTGCAGCATGCAGGAGGCAGCTGATCAATGATTCTTTCTCATCATTGATGTTTCTGTATCTCTCTTCCTTTCCCTGCCCCCACCCCACCCCATAAAAAGAAAGAAACAACTTGCGCCCTAGCCAGTTTGGCTCAGTGGATAGAGCGTCAGCTGCGGACTCAAGGTCCCAGGTTCAATTCCGGTCAAGGGCATGTACCTTGGTTGCGGGCACATCCCCGGTAGGAAGTGTGCAGGAGGCAGCTGATCGATGTTTCTCTCTCATAGGTGTTTCTAACTCTCTATCCCTCTCCCTTCCTCTCTGTAAAAAATCAATAAAATATATTTAAAGAAAAAAAGAAAGAAATAACTTGG